AGTGTTTCTTCCTCCGAAAGATTTTTCCTGGACCCCAAAGACTGGGGTTCACAGTCATGCACTATAGAGCTCTTTTATTTTAAACTCTGTTTTATTGAAAGAGACTTGAATTGCAATGTATTAGCTTCTGGTATGTGTGTGTGCAAAGTGGCTTCAGCCGTGTCTGACTCTTCGCGACCCCACGGACTATAGCTCCCCAGGCTCCTCTGTCCCTGGGATTCTCCAGGCAAGAACTGCAGTGTGTTGCCTTTCCCTTCTCCAGGGGATCTTCCCAACCCAAGGAATGAACCCAGGTCTCCTGCACTGCAAGCAGATTCTTTACCATCTGAGCCACCAGGAAAGCCCAAACTAATAGATAATTATTCATTATATTATATATACTCTTTTTCATATTCTTTTCCTTTTTGGTTTATCAAAGGATATTGAATATATATAGTTCCTGTGCTATGCAGGAAGATCCTACTGTTTATCCATTCTGTATATAGTTGTTTGCATCTACTCATCCCCAACTGTCAATTTGTCTCGCCCCCACTGCCGCTTGGCATCCAGAAGTCTGCTTTCTGTCTATGGGTCTGTTTTGTAGATAAGTTCATTTGTGTCATAATTTAGGTTTCACACGTAGGTGATGTTGTATGATATTTGTTTTTCTCTTTCTGACTTATCTCACTGAGTATGATAATCTCTAGTTGTATCTATGTTATTGCAAATGGCATTATTTCATTCTTTTTTATGGCTGAGTGATACTCCGTTAGAAATATTTACACACATCTTCTTTATCCATTCATCTGTCAATGGACACTTGGGTTGTTTCTATGTCTTGACTATTGTGAATAGTACGGCTAAGAGCATGGGCGTGCAAATATCTCTTCAGATTTGGGTTTTGTCCAGATATATGTCCAGGAGTGGGATTGCCGGATCACATAGCAACTCTCTTTTTATTTTTTTGAGGAACCCGGATACTGTTCTCCATGGTGGCTGCACCAGTTTTCATTCTCACCAAGAGTGTAGGAGGGATCTCTTTTTAGAGCTCTTTATTTTAAACTATAGAGTTTAGAGAACTGTGGAGTTCTCTATTTTAAATTGAATGATTCTTTAATCTGTCTGTTTCTGACTTGGCTGTATGTTCCTTGAGGGTGACAGGCACATGGCCGTGCATAAATGAAAGTATGAGATTAGGAGCAGCAATGTTGTTGTAGCTAGAGCCCACGGCTGTGGTGTGGGTAAAGGGCGATCAGAAATTTGAGCCAGAGTCTCGGCCAAAATGTGGGCCAGGGCCCCAAACACTAGTTGAACAAGACTGCTAGGGACCATGAATTACTCCGGAAACTACCTCCTTAATCAGGTTTGTTTAAGACAGCCTGGCAAATCCATCCATTTTCTTCCCTTCCAGGGAAACTGAGTCTGTGAGCACTGGATTTGGGAGAAGTGTTCCTGAGCAGAAGTCATGAGGTCAAACTTTACGGTACCAATGAGCAGTAGGAAAGCACAGGAATCACAACTTCTTTGCTCAAATTATTTTGATTTAAATTCCCCTTCATCAACTCTGCTAAAATCTCAGGCAATTTTTTACAATGTCATTCTGTGTTTAATGCTCATCATTAAATTTTTCATCAATTTAAATCAATAAGTTGGCAAAATAATTGCTGGAACTGAGGTTTCCCTTGCTCTTCAGTACAGACAGAGACATAGAAGGAATGTTCAAGAATGTGTTTCTTTCTGGGTCTCAATTAAAGGTGGCCGTTGGTAACAGTAAGGCCTGAATTCAGGATAATCACAGGCATGTACCTAGCTAGGTCACTTCACCATGGTAGACATCAAGAATCAACCACAGCTCCTTCCGCCTCAAGCTTGCAGTTGGCCTCCGAACCCTTCCCAACACAGTGGTAACTTGTGCAGATCAGGGTGAAATTCATTTGTCATGCCTGGTCTAGGCACTGATCAGAGGCGTGACTCTTCAAAATTAAGTTGTTAAACAGCTATTAGGTGATGCCCTAATGTCCTACTGAGAATATAAACCAGCAACTTGCAGGTTTGTGACTTATTCTTTCATTTTAAGAACACTGACAGGTTGCACTTAATTCAGAGCAACGCAAACAGGGTAGCAGGGTTAAATCAGAAAGCCTGGATTGTGATCCCACAGAAGTTTCTCTCCTTCCAGCCACACAGGATATTCGATCCTTCCAATGCTGTTAGCTGTTGGCTTCCAACAACTGTGAAGAAGAGGAGGAAACCTGACACTTTAGTTGGATGGTGTTTGTACAGATGTAGCTAGCTTCTTCCTTAGCATATTTGGTTAGGAGGAACTCAAGGAGCTAGGAGCTGAATCTCAGGAATGTGCAGATAAAGTGACATTGACACAGACCTTCAGGAACATTTGCAAGACCCATTCTAACCCCACGTAGAGCAGAGGTTCTTAATCTTTATTGGGCATGAACTCCTTTAGCAGTCGGATTAAGCTTATAAATCCTTCTCAGAAGACTGTCTTTAAAGAAGACAGTAAAAGAAAACATATTAGGTTATAAAGGAATCTGATTATAATGAAATACAGTTATTGGAATATTTGTTAAAAAATCTGTGATGTAGGGACTTCCCTGGCAGTGCAGTGGTTAAAACTTCACCTTCCAATGCAAGGGGCTGCTGGTTCGATCCCTTGTTGGGGAACTCCCACTTGCCATGGTGTGGCCAAAAAATAAAAATGAAGAAGTTAAAGAAAATAAAATCTGTGACATAGTAATATATGTGTTTCTTGATTAAGCGTTATGATCTAACTGAAGGTCAAAGAGAAGTGAAGTGAAAGTTACTCAGTCATGTCCAACTCTTTGCAACCCCATGGACCATACAGTCCTTGGAATTCTCCAGGCCAGAATACTGGAGTGGGTAGCCTTTCCGATCTCCAGGGGATCTTCCCAACCCAGGGATCGAACCAGGGTCCCCTGCATTGCAGGCAGATTCTTTACCAACTGAGATATTAGGGAAGCCCTGAAGGTCAAACGCCTACTATAATTTTGTAGTAAAGATTAGTGCAACTATCTGGGACAACCACAACCTTCTGTAGATTGTGTGTGATTCCTACCAGTGATCGCATCACAACTACTGATTGAATGACACTACTGTGCTTTGTGAATGCATTGAAAATAGAAAAGTTGCTCAATTTCAAAGGGGGATTAGTAAAAATAAAGGTGGAATTTTTTTTCCGTGCATCCAGCTAGTTCATGAACCCTCTGAATTATGTGCTGGGACCCCAGTTACAGACCTTAGACTTAAGTGAACTTGGATATAGGGATCTCTGACAATCGAGCAGCATCTCATGGAAAAGAAAAGAGTCTTCTATGGATGGCTTTGCTTTGCTGTGAGACTATCACACTTTTCTCTACTATCAGAGCTCTTCCCTTGAGGATGGAAGGCTGCTTACGCATGTTCTCTGGCATAGAAACTGCGCACCTATCGTAGACATGAAAAAATGGGAGCCTAAGAAGGATAAGCAACCTGACCTACAGAAGTGAACAGTGAGAAAGGACATCAAACACCACAGTCTCTGATTTCTAGAGTTGGGAGAAAGTTCTGTTACTTATATTCATTTTCTATCTCCGGTAAGTTGAAGGGTTAGGAAGGTCAGACGCTCTCTCTAGATCTGACTTGAACCAGAGGTCTAGGAAAGCAATTTCAAGCAGAATCAGGGCCTCCTCGTCTAGGGGTGTTGATTTGATACAGCAGGTTACTTAGAACTTTTCTGCCGGGGAGACACTAAAGAACTTGATGTGCTAGCACTGGGGGAAACCTCGGACATAATGTCATTGAAGCATTGTTAGTGCTGCCTACTTCTGTTTTGTGGTTGGTTTTACATTGGATCAAATGAAATCTAATGATGTTTTGGTGGAAGCGGGAGATGGGTAAGAGGAACCATTTTTGAAAATACTGCCTTTAGGTATGCTAGCCTCTGACACAACTTAATTTTTCTTATTGAAGTGTGGTTGATTTGGGCTTCCCTGGTAGCTCAGCTGGTTGAGAATATGCATTCAATGGAGGAGACCCTGGTTTGATTCCTGGGTTGGGAAGATCCCCTGGAGAAGGGGAAGGCTACCCACTCCAGCAGTCTGGCCTGGAGAATTCCATGGACTCTATGATCCATGGGGTCGCAGAGAGTCGGACACGACTCACTTTCACTTTCACTTCACGGTTGAATGACAGCAATGTCGCGCTAGCCTCAGGTGTAGCGCACAGTGACTCACTTATCAATATGTTATTTTTCAGATTCTTTTCCCTTATAGGTTATTATAAAATATTGAGTATGGTTTTTTGTGCTATACAGTAGGTCCTTGTTTGTTTGTTTTTGTTTGGTTTTTTGGGCCATGCCGTTCGGCTTGTGGGATCTTAGTTCCCTGACCAGGGATTGAACCTGTGCCCCGACCAGTGGAAGCTGAGTCCCAACCACTGGACCTAACTGCCAGGTAAGTTCCCAGTAAGCCTTTGTTATCTATTTTGTAGAGTAGAGCACATACTCATTAAATTATACAACATTATAATTTAAATTCACTGTGAAAGACGCGAACAAAGAAGACTCTGTGGCTCTTCTCTGAAGAACTTTGTCCTTCTAGTCAAATACTTTTTCCCCACAATTAAAAAAAAAAAAACCCTCAAGTAGTAATACATGCTTTGGTTAAAATGCAAATATTCTGGAAGTGAACCTAATAAATCATGAAAGTCCCTCTTCCTCCAGTTCTACACCCTTTCCCAGAAGTTGAGCATCTTTCCAGAATTTTTTTCTGTGTGTTTGTATATGCATATATATATATACAGAAAATAAATAAATTCAAGTGAAATATCTATTTATTTACAAAAATGGGAATATACTTTACCTATACTTACTTTTTTACTATTTCTTAAACAGCTGTTTATATATATAAATATATCTTGTTCCTTTCAATGACTGTGTACTATTCCACAATACAGATGGTTGCACCGTACATGTTCAACCATTGCCCTGTGCCTGGGCATTCTGGTTATCCACAGGTTGCATTTTTATTGGTTGCTTTTGCTGCTGTTGCACATTAGAAACAATACTCCAATCCGATATCTTCTTTAAGCCCCCCAAAGCCTCAGTTTGATTTTTCTCTCTTCCTGCAGGGACAAGAGTGTGAATGAGGAGAACAGGAAAAAGAGAGGTTGCAATTCTTTTCTTCCCCCATCACCTCCTTCCCAACTCCCAGCAAGCCTGTGTGTATAGTCGCTCAGTCGTGCCTGACTCTTTGTGACCCTGTGGACTGTAGCCCACCAGGCTCCTCTGTCCATGGGATTCTCCAGGAAAGAATACTGGAGTGGGTTGCCACTTCCTTCTCCAGGGGATCTTCCCAACCCAGGGATCGAACCTGGGTCTCCCACGTTGCAGGCAGACGCTTTACCCTCTGAGCCGCCAGGGAGGCCAGGCCTACATCAATGCAGAAAAAGAGCTCCCTCTGCCAGGAATGCTCTTCTCTTTCTCCCTCTCACTTCATCCTGCAAGTGAGTAACTTCATCCTGCAAGTCACACCTCCTGTTTTATTTCCCCAAGGCCCTGTCCTACCACCCAGAGAGAAGAAGGGCCCCTCTTCCGTGCTTTCATGGCCTTCTCTGCATCGCATTCATTTGGAAGCTTCCTGACTGTGCGCCGGCCCCCGAGGGGACAGAAGGCGCTCACCTGTCCACTGTGTACCCACAGCCACTAGTAGCACAGTTGGGATGGAACACACGCCCCCTGACACAGCTGGTTCCCTGAACTGAAGGGCTTTCAGGTGAGTAGTTCCTGACACAGAATACACTTCGAGTTACCTTTCAATCTGTGTTGAAGCCAACAACGTTAGATTATGAGTCATCTGGATAGCATCTGAGCGTGGAAAGAAATGTCCGGACCTGAAGAGTGCGGCAGAGGTTAAAACAACATGAAATCTCACCACGTTCATCAGTTCTTTCTCTGGCCTACCCCCACACTCATCACATCCATGGGAATCACTTTGATCTCGGCAGTAGGCTCCAGCACACTGAAGAAGAACAAGACCTGTTCTGCAGGTTCTATTTTTAATTTTGATGAAAACTGTTTACCGTGCCCCGCCTATCTCTCGGGCAGGTGGCTTTGATACAACTGGTTGGGTTATGCCCTTCCCTGACTGCCAACCTGCCCATCCCGGTGCCTCCACGAGGGCTGGTGGGAGCTGACCGGCTCCCCAGGGCCTCCAGACTCCCTCCTGTAACACAGGGAGGGCTGCCCAGGGGAGCCTGCTGGAGTAGAAAAGGAGGGAAAATGAGGACAGAAGGGCTGGCGAGGAAGTCCACCGAAGCAGCTGGTAGGTCAGACTCCAGTGCTGAGGCCAACATTTTGAATCCTGAAATTCTAGACTGTACGTTTTCTTGGGGATGAGCTAGTTAGAAATAGAGCCAGAAAAGGCTTGGGGGAAATGGAGCCCATGGTATGCAAAGCCCAGGACATGCTAATTCCACTGGTTCACCAGATGGTTGCTCCCTAACTTGACCCGTATAAAAATTCTGGAGTGAACTGGCGATAGGCCACGCTTTCTCACTCCAGCTTCCACGGCTGGCCAGTAGACTCTGATATCTACACAGTGGGCCCGACGGTGAGGGAGCCGGACGAGGGCCAGGTGGAGGAGATGGAGATGGAGTGGTATGAGCGCATCTTCCTCCCGTCTGTCATTCCGCAGAGAAGCAAACTGACACCCGGAAAGGTGCAGGGTAAGACCAGTCCCAGTGCTCAGAGCCGGCAGAGGACCGGTTCCCTCCAGGCTGGTCTCTGCGCTTTGCTATGCCTTGCTTTTGGAGTAGGTAGAAGAGGTATCTGCCACACATCTCACATAACCCATGTCTAAGGGAGGATGGGTGTACTACGGCTGAAATGCCTCCTCCACCTGACTTGCCAGTTCCTCATCAAGATCAGACTTTGTTGGTGGTGGTGGTGTTTGGGTTCGTCTCTGGCTGCACTGGGTCTCTGTGGTTGACAGCGGGCTTTCTCTAGTTGCGGAGAGTGGAGGCTACTCTCTAGCTGGGGTGCTCAGGCTCCTCATGGCTTAGTTACCCGCCGGCATGCGGGATCTTAGTTCTGGACTGGGAGTCGAACCCACATGTCCTACTTTGGAAAGCAGATTCTTAAGCCCTAGACGGCCAGGAGAGTTCCCATCTGTACCAGTTTTAGTCTTTGATCTCTAACGTTTTCATTTTTTATAGATGCAAATGCCCCTTGGAGAGACGACACACTGGTGATAATAAGTTCACTAAAGCTTCTCTGTAAAGCAGTTGAGTAAAGTCATGGGCTAACAAGGAAGAGAGAGACTGAGAGAGATTTGCATGTGTGTTAAGGTTTCCAACCATCCGGAGAAAATATGATGTCGAAAGGGAAGAGATTCCTCTGGGTTTGCTTTTTGCCTAGAGATCGGGCTGATATCAGGGACTTTTCCCTTAAGCGTGTTCCTGGTCACTGTGGCCAGAAAGTGAGATGTGGTCACCGTAGTTCATATCCTGGACTGACTGATCCCACAACCATAAACTCCCATTGACCCAGATTCTTCTTGGCAGCCCACAGGAAGATGAATCTACGGTGATCAGCAGATTAATTCTTGAAAGTGGAAGACTGCCAGCAAGATGTGTCAGCAGCTCTCCTTGGCGGCAGAAGGTGGGAGAGCCTGCCTTTTGGGCAAGGTGAGTCCTGGGTCAGTCAATCATTTCTGGGTTCCTGAAGTCAACGGCTTGTTCCCATGCATCAAGTAAGGAGTCTCCCTCCCCTCATCACACGTGGATCGCCAAGGTCATTCCCTTGCTACGAAAGCAGGGCTGCCTCTGAAAATCCTGACAAGTGCCCCTGTTCCGGTGGCTCTGCATTTAGTAGTTATTTTAGGGTTCCTTCTGAACCTTGCTAACCCTTCACATTTCTTCTAAGTTGGAGGAGCCCAGAGTGAAAATTAAGAGATGTGGTATTGCAGCAGCTGACCATGCTGGGAGACTGTTTAATGCACTCTGGCCCCCTCTTTCTCTTCGTGTCCCTTGTGAGGATGAATAAAAGAAAGTGAAGCCTCCAACACTCTTTGAGGTCCTTGGGGAGAGGGATTACGGATGGCCAGATTCTGTGGTTTATACATGGTACTTAATAATACCGTGAACAGTTAGACTTTCCCCTCCCTGACAGAATTGGATGACATGCACTCCCAAAGGTTTTCTATGCAATAGAATTTCCTGAAAGTCAACAAAAGTGGAAAGTATCACAGTCTCCCAATAATGATTGACCTCAGGCAAGGTTCTGCTCAATCTTAGAAAGGGGCTACATTTCCCCTGGGACAGGCAGAACTCTCCCTCTCTCTGGGGCATCTCAGAGATGGAGTGGTAATGGGAAACACAAGAGCAAGTCTGACTACTGAGATGTAATAAGCCCTGACATTTCTATGCCTGATCCTCATATATATGCCATTATGGTGATTTTTTTCAAGACAGACCTCTAAAACCAGGCCTTCTTCTGTACATGAAGGGGGGCAGAAAGCACAGGGAGAAAGGAGGGACTATCATCATTATAAAAATAAGAGCAATCAGGCATATTGCCAACAAAACTTCTGGAAAAACCAGCCCTGATTTCTGTTTGAAATTCTCCCTTTGAATTATCGGCCAGACTCCAGTGAAATCCTAAACTAAGTTCTTTAGAATACTTGAAATACAAAAATCTATGTAAAAAAGCAAACATTTTAGAAATAGATACACAAAAAGACCTCATGGAAAGCTGGGAGACAGAGAAGGTTTGGTAAGTCAGCCCTTTCTAAACTATTTCAGCCTGCCTGGATCTAGACAAGGGAGGAATTTAGAACCCAGTTGCCTGGCTTCTCTCTGCGGCTGCTCAGACATTCTTCAGTGGCTTTGGTGGTTAAAAAAAAAAATAGAAAGAAAAAAGAAAAACCCTCATAACTTGCTTTAGAAAGACAAGCGGCTCCCATTCATGACTGTTAGAAATCACAAAAAGCAGACTGAATTTATACCAATCTCATCAATGAAAGATGGCATGTCTCATGTAAAGGCTGCAGTACCATCTGCCCTCCAATACAATGAGGAATTTTATGCTGTTTTTGCATGGTGTGGGTCTTTAAAACAAAGTGATAAATTAAAGTGGCCTCAGTAATGCACCAAAAATGTTAAGCTGTTTTAAGGCAAATGGAGAATGTGGTTTTCTCGTACAAGGAAGGAGTCAGCAGGCAGCAAGGTTTGGAGTTGGCCCTCAAATGAATTCAAGAGAATATCAGCCCATTGGTCCATCTGGTATTGAACTTCAGAAATTGCCCTGTGCCCAGTATTGTGCATGGGCATGCGGATTATTTCAGAGAGATTACTTCGGGGGTTTCTGAGTCCCCAGTTAGTAGAGAAGTTCTTAGGAGAGAATTTGTTTTCATATAATACAAGTTCACCTCCCATCTTCTACAGTTCTCCTAGGCAGCTCAAAACGGCCTTTCTTCAGTCACGGGAGCCACCCACCACTTCTCACCTGTGTCCTCTAAGTCCAGGCCTTATCTCTCCACATTTCACTTAGTTAAATCCTACATCTCACACATCCTTCAAGGTCTAACATAAACCCCCTGTTTTTCCTTAATAATTTCAGCCTGTGATGGGGTCTCATTCTTCTCCTCTCCTATTGCACTTAGGGTGGACCACACCGAGATGTTTAGACGAGCTGTGCAGAGAAAGGGGACGTCCCAGGAGCACATGGGCAAAGGCAGACTGAGTGCACCCCAAAGATGCTGGGGGGTGGGGGAGTGGGGGTGAGCCGGGGAGCTGGGAGGAGGAAGGAGGTGGATCTGAGTTCAAATCCAGGTCCCTCTGCTCCCGAGCTCAGTGATACTGGGCAAACCATGTCTGGGAGTCTTGTTCCTCCAGTCTCAAAGCTCTCCCTCAAAAGCTTTTGTGAGTGATTGCCAGTAGTATCTGAAAAACAAATGAATGAATTTATGCTAAAGCCATCTAACCTAAACCAAAGTGGCTCACTGGGATGAGGAGGCATGAGTAGCGGCAGTTTGGGGAAGGCTTTCTGAATTAGGTCTCCTCAGAGATCCCACCCACAGGGCCAAGTTCTTTTTAGTGGCTGTTGCCCTGTATCAGTTTAGTCTTAGGGAAGTGAATGCATGTGCGGTTGTCTGACTCCCTCGCATACTCTGTGAGTATGTAGAATTTTCATGTACTGTCGTGTCCCAGGGGCTGAATCCAGTGCCTCAATAAACTCCCGTGGGAGAAATGAAGAAGTTTACCCTTGATGCCCTGGTAGCATTTTCAAAAGTGCTTTAGAAAGGGTGTCCTGGTGATGGTGTGCCTCACACATTAGAGAGAGAGGGGCTCAGAAGCAGAGCTTTGACAGCTTCTGGACTTGAGAAATTTGTTGTGGGCACATTTTGTTTTGCCAGTGAGGATAGCCCACTTCTCAATCCCAGCAACAGTTTCTGTACTGAGCATCACCACTGAAGAGCTTCCAAGGGAACCCTGCGTTCAGCAGGAACAGGCTTTAACCTGTTTGATTCAATATAATGTTTCTTAATACCAAGATTTATTGAGTGCTAAGTATGTGCTGGGGATTCCCAGGTGACGCAGTGGTAAAGAATCCACCTGCTCCTGCAGGAGATGCAAGAGACTCGAGTTCCATTCCTGGGTTGGGAGGACCCCCTGGAGAGGGAAATGGCAACTCATTCCAGTATTCTTGCCTGGAGAATGCCATGGACAGAGGAGGCTGGTGGGCTACAGTCCATGGGGTCGCAGAGAGTCAGACACGACTGAGCATGCCTTGCCACGCCAAGTGTGTGCTAGACTCTGTCCTAAGAACTCCACACGTTGTCTTAGTCAGGGTTTTCCAGAGAAACTTAAACTTTTGCAGGAAGGGAGATTTT